TCTCCAAACAGCGGCCACGGCAGCTTCAGCGACAGCCGCCGCCTGAACGACTTCGTGGGCCACGCCCTGCACTCGGCCATCCTCGTGCCCTACCACGGCTGGAGGCTCAGGCGCGCGGCGCGGCGCGGCGCTGACCCACGCGCGCTTGACGGCACGGGTCTCGCATGTGCCGTTTGATTTAAATGCAGGAAACGCCACGTGCATTCTCTCTTGAGCCGAAACGAAAGCGTGCAATGATGAAGCAGCCGGCCCCCTCACACAAGCCCTGCCCCGTGTCACCCCGCAGCCACAAGAAGCACCACGGCAACCACGGCCACATCGACAACGATGAGTCGTGGCATCCCATCACCAAGAGCGTCTACGACGAGCTGGTGGGCAGTTGTTGGGGGAGGGGGTGTGGGCGGCTAAGGAGGGGCGTCACCCGGGTGTGTGAGTGGACGGCGGTGTGCTGATGTTGATGTGGAAAAGGGATGCTTTTTGCTGCCGTGCAGGCGGAGGGATCCCTTTTGCATTACCCACATGCGGAGGTGATCTTGCTGCCAGACGCAGCCCATTGCGGCCCCAGCTTGCCCCGCCCGCCCTCGTTCCCCTGTGTTCAAGCCGTGGCCGTCGCCGCCACCCCCCCCCCCTCCGTGCGTGCTGCAGGGGTGGCAGGCTCGGCTGGGGCGGCTGTCCTTCCCGGCTTCGCTCCTGTCATTCCCCTTCTACCTTGTGTGGGGCTCTCCTGGCCGCGCGCACAGCCACTACCACCCACACAGGTGGCGCCGCGGGCGCGGCCCCGCAGGGGCGGGGGCCGGCCGACACGTCGGGCCGGGTTTCAGTGCATGCCGCCTGTCACGGGGCTGGGCGTTGAGTCACACAACAGCCTGCACAATCAATGGACGTCCCTCTTTGCCTCTGACCAATTTTGACCCGTTTCTCTTCGCGCCATTTCGCCATCCAAAAATGTCACCACCCTCGGCTGCTGACGCCGTCTCCTCACATTCCACCCCTGGGCGCACCACTCACAGTGACCTTTTCTCGAAGCACCAGCGCCCGATGGTCGTCACTAGTGACGTGTGCCTGGCGGTGGTGTACACACTGCTGGTCACCGCCATGGTGGCCTTTGGGGCCGGCACGGTCGCCAAGCTGTACTGGTGGGTCGGGTGCTGGGTGTGCTCGGTGTGTGTGGTCGCATGTGCGTGTTTATGCGCATGTACATGTGACGACGAGGGTATGCACATATGTGAGGGCAAGTTGTCTAGAAACGTCACACATGATGCGCGTTTGCGGATCCAACCTCAAGCTTCTTGTGTGCTCATTTGAAGCCCTGGCAGCAGGGGCCAACACGTGCCGCAGCCCACTTTAAGGTCCCTGCCCCCTCAGTGCCACCCTGCCGTAACAAGTACCTTCACCACCCACCCACCCACCGTGTGTAACCCCCACCGGCCGCGCGTCACCCGCGCCGCCCGCCAGGGCCCCGTGGCTGGTGTATGTCATGTGGCTGGACGCGGTGACGTACCTGCACCACCACGGCCCCCACGACGAGACGATGAAGATGCCCTGGTACCGGTGAGGGCGCGGCTTTTTCTGAGCGGCTAGCAGCGAGGCCACAAACATCCCAATGTGGCGTGTTGAGGGAGACCACCCACTGGCGAGGGTGCCCTTCCCTGCAACCATCTAGCTCCCTCCCCCCTTCCCTGAACCCCTCCCCCACATCTGCACAACTTGAAGCCCGCAACCCTTGATCACCAAATTCCCTACCCCACCCCACACCCTTCGAAAACCAACATCAAGCGGAAAGGAGTGGAGCTACCTGTGTGGCTGCCTGACCCCCTCCCCCCTCACGCCCAGCAACCAACCTGACTCCCAACCCCCTCCACCACCTCCAAAACCCCACGATGCCAACCCAAGTCCCTCTGCCCCCCCCCCTCAACCACCTCCAAAAACCCCAAAACCCTGAACTCCAACATTTTCTACCCCTAAACCCCAACATATTCTACCCCTAAACCCTAAACCTCAAACCCCTCCAGTGGGAAGGAGTGGAGCTACCTGCGCGGCGGCCTGACCTGCCTGGACCGCGACTACGGCGTGCTGCACCGCGTCACCCACGACATCGGAACCCACGTGGTGCACCACCTGTTCCCCCAGATCCCCCACTACCACCTGCGGGAGGCGACGGCCGCGATCAAGCCCATCCTGGGGTGAGCGGGGAGCGAGCAAGGCTGCACCCGCCCTCGGCGGCTTCGCTTGGTCT